TATCAGCATATATATATATGTATATATATATATATATCAACATCAAAGAAAGGTATTATATATATATAAATATATATACACACACTAACATATTTCTTACACATTTTGATTTTATTTGAGAATATAAAACAAGGTGTTAAATTCATTTTTTACATCTTCTATAAATGTATGTAAAAGAATAATTTAAAAAAAATTACTACTCCTGTTAATATTAATTGGTTTGCAAGGTGTAGTATCGAAAAAAAAAAAAAAATCGACAGCTCACAGGTTAAACCTCCTGAGCCATTTCAATATCATCCAGTTCAAAAGAAAAAGCGGAATTTTTTGAGCCCAATGAAATCGTTGATGTGTTGACCTTACTGCTTTTCCGTGAATTCTTAATACTTCTAAACGCTTTCATGACTTCATCGTATGCCGGCGGATGATCTGTATTACCACAGTGATCTATATGATGAGATCTAATGGAATGGTGGAAGGGGTTTGTAACATCATTATAACACGGCGGCTGATCGTTAATGCCAGCTGGCACAGACTCGTCATCCGTATGGAATGATCTGCTCCCGCTATCCATCTGCCTCTGCCTTTGGCTGCTATCATCTGTGAAAAAAATTGTTAAAATCTCAGGAAGTAATCAAGGAAAGTCCTAGTAATAAAACTATAAACATATTTTTGAGAAAGCAGCTAGCTCAGTCAGTTAATCTGGTGTGTGTGCTGAACCGTCGAGATCTCTGGTTCCCCGGTTCAATTCCCATCGCTGCCTCTTCTTGTGTTTCAGCTGGAGGGCTGAAATACAAGTTACAATAGCGCACAGTCTTTCGGATGAGACGTTTAAGCCGTTGGTCCTGTGTGCATTTATGGCCCATGTGCATCTTAAAGAACGCAGTACACTCTTTGGAAAAGAGTAGGGGATTGTGTCCCAGTGTACTGTCCAATCACCACCAGAAGGACATCCCCACTGGAAATAAGTCTTCTTCTAGACTTTCGTGGGCTATCCTTGGTGTTTACACCGAATAAATCCAATCCACGATTAAGCAATCAATAACAATATAAAGTTCATTAATGATTATTTATCAGTGTTTTAGATGACAAGTGTGACAGCACCACTGAACATTTCTGGATATTGGAGCTATATAAATATTTTGATTGATTGATTGATTGATTGAACTGGTATTCAGAATAAATTTTGAAGTTATTATTGCTTACAAGAAAATAAAACGCTGAGGAAGCAATCAAGGAAAGTTTTAGTAGTAAAACTGTAAACAAATTTGGATGATTAAGCAAACAATAACAACATAAATTTAATAATTTATCAGTTATGTTCTATATTTTACATGAAAACTGGCATTCAGAATAAATTTTGAAATTATTATTGCTTACTGTATAAGAAAATAAAAAGCTTAATAAATATTAAGCAGTTGTATTCTATGTTTACATAATCACACAACTTGTATTTACAGAATATATTTGAAGGTTTTTATTGCTTATGTATTTCTACATGAATTTTATATTTTATATTAAAAATAAATGTGAAGGTTAAAAGGCCTTAGTAGAATTCTGAACTATCATTCACAGGGCAATTGTACTGGCAGTTATGAAAACCTCTCATTTAAAGGTGGTGGGTGGAGGGGGTGGTGCTGGGAGAAGACATCTATACATCCTCTATTCATCTCAATTTTTTTTAATTTCAAAAAAATAAAGAGAGATGGGGATCATCGTTCCTATTTAAAATTGTTAACTTTTTTTTCGTTTTGTTTATGTTAATTCTTTATATCCCTCCTGGTATCGGCGATCAACTCGTTTAAATCATACTCATTCATTTATTGTTCCATTTGGACGCACTGTCTTTCAAATCATCATTTTATCCATCCGTTATTTTACTATGGAACAGTCTACCACAATCAATGGTAGACTCAAAATCTATATCCACTTTTAAACAAAAATTAATTAAACACTTTAAAAACTAATCATCTTGATGGTTACTCATGTTTTTCTTTTTCTTTTTTTGTGTTGTTGGTCTGTAGTTAAGCTTATTTAAGGGGAAGGCTAATTATTAGCCGATAGTCAATTGACTATGTGGCTATCTTGACTCCCCAGGTTTTGTACCGAACTTTCATAAAATAAAAATAAAAAATGGTACACACACAAGTAACTACAACCCATCCTCACAGTCATGTGTCAGAAAGAATTATTGATTAAAAATTTCTTTTTTGTTGAAGCAGTATTGCTGGAAAAACTTACTAACCCAACATATAAAAACAAGAATTTTAAAAATAAATGCATTCTTCCTTTAAAAATAAAAGATTGTGGGCGAATACTTTATGAAACACAATAATCCCAGTAGCTCTGTAACAATGTGCATTAGGTTTAGCATAATTGCCATCCAATAAGCATCAAAAATTTCGGCAAAATTTAGAAAGCTGCATTTCGGAATTTTAAATCAACACAAAATGTACAACACGCTATCATAGGGTTAACAGGTCATGGAACACAACGATTCCGAGACTTGCATCGCATGATGAATTGCGGTCTTGACACGCAGCCGTCAGAAATTGTAATAGCTGTTTGACTTACAGTTTTTACATCCATAAATACAGAGAACTGTCCAACAAATTGGTGGCATTACACAAATCAATACAACTATCACGGTAGTGACAACTGCAAAAAAAAAAAGGTAGAGTAAAATGAGGATGATCATACGCAAGACTGCTGTCTTAGACGATACATTTTTTATACCTTGTTAAAAGTGAACTTATTTTTTAAAATCGTCAGAGGAGAGCGGAAAAGAAATAAAAATAAAATTTTATTTTTGTATTTAGCAAATGGTTTTGTAAAAAACATCTAGACGGAGGAGAAATAAAAAATATTATTGTTGAATGTAAACAGTGTAGTAATTTGATGATTAAATACTTCAAATTTATATAATTAGGAAGAAATATACATATCTTATTTTTGGAGATTTCAAGGCAGCGACAGGCGTAAAAAAAAAAAAGTAAAACTTTTTTTTCCTGATATTTCCAGTTTTTCGTGGGGACGGATGTGCTAACTGGCCAAATATAAAGTTTTACTTTTATTCAAAATCATCAATATTGGCAGATGGCGGGTTTGCAAAACAAGGTTTAAAAAGAAGTCTTGCCTTAAGCCAATACTATACATGCTGCGATAAACATATTTTAATCCCCATATTGGAATATATTCACTATTAATACCTTAATAGTGAGCAATACTTTAGTATGTAGACAAGGTGGACAACTGAAAACATGAAAGTATAAGTGTTTCAAAAAGACTTTTGATATTCATGTGTTAATGGTCTTGTTATTCATATTTTTTTTCATTACATAATTTGTAATTTCATTGTATAAGGTTGCTTATTTTAATACTGTATTTTATCATCTTTTATATGTAAAGTGCATTTAACAGAAATCTGAAAATACGCTATATAAATAAATTGTTTCGTCATATAGCATTTGGCAAAAAATTGAATTTCATGTTTGTCCATCGCTGAATCCAAAACACTCCTACTGAATGTTACCATTTGCATTAACAAATTATTCACTGGCTCTAACGAATCGACGGCGATAAAGTGTTAGTGCAATAAAACGAAATAAAGCAAATTAACATTTAAAACAGTCATCAAATTTTAAACATGAATGCCTTGAAGTTATAGAACCATAAAATGGAAATGATATGTAATTTCCCCCTTATTCTGAGAATTTTCATCCTCTTTATCTCTTTGACCTTTCACCCATGCAGTAAACAACTAGACGTGAATCTGCAAAATCATTACGACCATCCATGTTTAAAAATCATTTTATTGAGAGTACATATGATACACTAGGGAAGGAGTTGATGTACTCATATTAATGTGAAAAATAAAATGTAAAATTGCATAAAACATATTGAACACTGGCATTTTCATGCAGAGCATTGTCCTACAAATGGCCCATTTTCTAATAATTACTCGATAACAATAAAATAAAGTACATTATTAATTAAAAAACATTTTCTTCATTGCAGACTGCTGTCTAATTTTTGTCAGATTAATTGTGTATATTTTCTGAACTGCAAGTAAAGATATCGTAGTCTAGACAAGGATGAAAGATTTTAAGATCAAATGATCTTTAAAATCACAAACCATTATTTAAAAGTGAGAGGTGGAAAAAGGATAACAATATTTATCTTGTGAAACTGGTAAAAAAATGGATAATTCCTATTGAACATTTTATGTATTTGACATGGCCTTGATTTTGTATTCGTCTGAGATATAGTAATAGCACTCAATGGATTTATTTAATATTTTACAATTTTTTTTCAACAAATATTGCAATAACATTGTAATTTCCTCTTGGTCAAACCAAAATATTATGAATCCGAATAAAAATTAACATTTGTGTAGCATGTTCGATGCCACAGGCTAGTATATTTATAAATGGAATGTTGCTGAGGGCACCACAACAAGAATACTCACTGAAAATAAAGTGAAGATCGTTAAGAAGCTTGCTTTTCAATCCCAGAATTCGGGGAATAGCACAGAATTTTGTTCTCATGATTCGAAAGGAGACTTTGTTCATAAAGCATTGCATTATTTTCTTTTATTAAGAGGGCCACAAATTATCGGTTCCGGATAGGATAAGCTGGAAGATTAAAAAATAGAGCCTATGTTTTTGTTTCAAATCCAGGTTCAAATGTCATCCTTGGCTAGACTGTGAAATATTTACTGGCATTTCAAAAATATAAGCAATAATCTGAAAATAATTTCAGATAATAATCAATAATCACTCAGTAAGCTCACTTTTAAGGGGTGGGGGAGGGGGAGTGGGGGTGATAAACATATAAAATCGACAATATTCCGCAAGAGAATTGTTGGATGAGAACTATTGTATCTGCACTGACAGTTAAAACTTTTCCCATATCATTTCCTCCATCAATCTATTAGGCATTATGATGGTTTTGTGAGTAAATAAAAACATAGAAAGACATGTATATACATAAATATGTTTTGGCAAAATTGGCAATAGCTAGGTAAAAGGGCGCTGCTAGGCAACGTATAAAATGGCTTACCTTGGTCCTCACAGCTGTGGCCGTAGTAACCAGATTGACAATGACATGTTTTGTTTGGTCCACATAAACCACCATGTTCACAAGTGTAAACACTCCCGTCACTAAAATTACATGCTGAATGGTAGTCAAAAAAATAAAAAAGCTAGGAATTACTGTTAAACCAATATTGGGAGTACAGTAGTGTACAGCACTCTAGCTAAGTTCAGGGGTGGATCCAGAGATGTCCGAAAGGGGGGTGGGGCCGAAAGTGGGGTGGGGCCGAAAGTGTTGCTGTTTTTTTTTGTTATATTTGTTATTTATTACTTGGTATTTACAGTATATAGCACCGTTTCCTTTAGTTTACTAAGTGCTTTGTTTTACCTAGTTATTGGGTCCACATGTTTATGTGTTGCTGCCCTATCGGCGCAGTAGAAGGCAACCCCACCAGGTACCCATTTATACTCCTGGGTAGAGAGAAGCACATAAAGTGCTTTACTCAAGGACACAGCGGTCTGCACAGCGAGAGATTGAAACCCCACCTTGAGGTGTAAAAAGTAAAAAATTGTGATGCAATCAAAAAATACTAATCCATTCTCTTGTTATTGTACGAAACCTCAGAAATTGAGTAAAACTGTATGCAAGCCATGATGTTGGGGCTGATGTCGATGTACACAACTGTCATTACTAAAAGTCACAAGTCACAATTAATTAAGGTTATAGAAGGTGGACAATTTCTTCAGGAAAAATTAGAACCAAGAAACACCAGGCTATCTATATGCAAAATACGCTGATGATATTGAGAAAAGACATAAATTCATGAAACAAGATAGCTTTGCATACAAGTACACACCAATGGCAAGAAATGAGATCTTGACCTGACAGTCAAGAAAAGAAAAATAATACTAAAATAAATGGGTAAAAAAGTTAATAAAATATTAGATAACAATCTTAAATTTATTCAGAGGCAAGACTAGTTGTAATAGACACTTAGTTATATACAAACTTTACCAACACACCATTTCTTTTTAGAATGTAAATAATCGTGCTGATTTTTATGTTGCGATGCTGAGAATAGCGAGATAGAGATTTATATTTATAGAACCTACTTTAAATTTTTTAAAAGCTTAAGGTTTCACAAGTCATGATTTTGGTGTCATTAAGTTTAGGGTTGAAAAACGCATAACTTGCGAATCCTTAAGTTATTTTTATAGTCTCTAGATCCTCAATAATGTTTTGGTGACACAAATTTGGGTCGCAACCTTTAGTTTAGAGAACCAGAGCTCTACAGTTTCACTATCACAGACGTTAACAAAAATTTTTTTTTAATACAAACACTTTCTGTACATGGATAATTTTCATAACGAGTATTCTCATCAATCGATGATAACAACAAAAATAAAAGTACTATTTTTTATACAGGTTCGGTCTTATATGGTCCATTAGTCCACTAATACTATCACCCTAAATGATAGTACTTTTTTGGCCTGTTGCATGATGTGCAATCCCTAGGCCTCGTTACTATGTAATTTATGACACAGTGGAACGATATAAGAAGATGCGACCTCTACGACGCTGAGAAAGATTGGCCCTTTGATCTATTTGGTGTGTACCATTTTCATTAATTCTTTCTCGTAGAATCTAAAGGTAATACAAATATTGACTGCTCTAGATTCATGGAACGGTGAAATCTTTTAGCCCTAAGCCCTCATGAAGATAGGCTACGGTCTCCACATCACGTTGGGGCAATACATTTTACCATTACCCGAATCTAGAGCATTTGCATTATACTGTACTCAATGCACAGAATATTCTTTGTTTTAAATTGTTTTTATTCTATATTTAACACAGAGGCTCCTTACAAGGCACAGCCTTAGGATTGAGGATTTATTAATTTTTAATGGTATAATGCCTATCTAATCACAAATAAAATATTACATATGAAAATATTCAAGGTATTCCATGCCATTATCGCATAGATTTTCAAATGAAATCACTATAAAATCACTTGTCACGGTGAGTGGTAGAAATGACACTTCCATTAATAACTAATCCAACATGACTGACATGACAAAAAATGACTGACACATATTAAATTTTTCATTCCTTCTCTAATTTAATCAAATACACACTTTTTTTTTTTTATAAGAACCAGTAAAATTTTGCCCAGGTTCAGTGTTGCTATTTTTTGCTGATTTTAGGCTTGAAATGTTATTATTTTAACAGAAAATTATGTACAGGGACATACATAGTCACACTTACACTGCAAGTAAGGGACAGATAAGATTTGTTGTCAAGTTGTATGAAATTTTGTTGAAGTGTATCATCAATACAAAGTACTTGTTTAATACAAAATAAAAGTATAATAAAACATATAGTGTAGCAAACATAATACTTGAATTAAACCTGTATCTAAATTCTTAAATATCGCACCCCAAAGGATGCTGTCGAATGGAGATACACTTTTAAGTGCAATTTAAAAAAAAAAAAAAATGAAAGAAAAGGAAATGGATACAATCAAATAAAATATGTATGACTTTCGATCTTCCATTGCATTTAGCATGGCATATGATTTGTGCTTTAAAACAAATGAGTCTCTAAAGTTTAAAACAGGATACTGTACCCTTTTTAAGTAGTCAATTTAGCAATATTTAGATTCAGTGGCACAACAGCGATTCTGAGTGTTCATGTAATTTGACATTTATACTTTTCCTTGAATGGCTAAAGGCAAATTTGTACAAAATATACGTTTACATCACTGTCAAGAACTATTACTAGTAATATCATGTAATATTTATGACCATTATCATAATTTTGTAATAATTGTGTTCTAGTTTTCTTCAATTATAAGATAATATATTAATTCAATAGTTCTAAATCTATTTGTTTTCTGTGATGATAGTGGATGGGTCAAATGCTCATGCTTATAATGATGAAATTTTATTATTATTATTATAATTATTATTATTATTACTATTTTATTATTATTATTATTATTATTATTATTATTATTATATAGCCTTGCAAAGGATATTGTGTTTGCTCTTTTTGGTATTATTATCATATCTTTGCAAATTATTTGTGTTCTTTTTCGTTAATATCAAAAAAATGTGTACAGGCCTCCTAATTAAACACCACCTCCAATTAAAGACCATTTTTCTGTTGTCCAAAATTTACAAACTTCTTTTTTTTTTTTTTTTATCTTTCACATTCTAAATTATGCACCAAGTCTGCTAAAGATCATGAAAAGCCTGGTAACACAAGTGGTCTTTAATTGGAGGTAGACCTGTATTAATATTTCAAGTTTACAATTTTTTTGGGAAAAATTAAAGCATCAACCACCATGTACAAAGTTAATGTCAAAGCAAAATTACATTTTTCTCATATTTGAAGATCTTATGTATATCAAATTCAACAGTTGCAATGCGATGTCTGAATCATAAATAAACCCTCTGCTTTTAGAAGATATTCTATATGAGCAATTTAATGTTTTAGTTGAATTTAAAAATTATTTTTTCCCCCAAAAATTTTACCACAGTATGTGCAAAAAATGTTTTGTCTTCACCTACAGTGCACGCAGGAGGCCAATGTAAATATTTTGCTCAATTCTCAAAAAAGCCAGAATTCGCACCGAGAATTACCTTCTACACACACATACACAACCATGGATTCAGTTAAGGTATTATTTGTATGCGAGGATGGTTGTGCAGTTTTATATTTTATTTACTTCAATTTATTATTAATTGATCAATCAAGTGCTTCCTGCTACAGTATGAAATTTAAACTTAACTTGAGGCAAAAATATTAAAGTATATTTCATAATGCTGTTCCATAAAAAGGAATTTGCACTAAAAATTTATTCATGAGCAGATTCAGCTGTTTTTTTTAAAGGGTTTTTTACACTTTAAACATATACTGTGTATTCTTTAGGTATTTATACCTACGGTCGGCAACCTTTCACTCTTTATGACCCAGATTTTTTTGTCATAGCTTCCCACGACACTTGACCTCCAGTTACCATAGAAATGTCGTCCAAGATACTGTATATGGCCAATGTATATAATTATATCAATGTGCTGTAGGGAGTGTTGTAACAACAGTATAAATATTTCATTTTGTTTCCTTGTAGGCCTGTCAGGAGAAATTTTTTCCGGGGCCAAAATCTGTCTGCCGGACCGATTTTGGCTTTAAAAATACCTGCCAAATGTATTCCACATAAGCCAAAATTGGTCCGGCATCTATTTAGTAGTTTTAACCTGTATTTCTTTAGCATTGTTCATATTTGTTTTTAATCAAATGATAGATAAATATCTCATCTCTTATATAATATTTTTTTATTCGTTGCGTGTGCAATTGAGTATACAGCCACAAAAATTAGTATGTTATTTTCGCTCTTCGCACCCAGTAAACTCTTTGGTGTAAACTAAAAGTTAGAAAAAAGCTAAACGATATGATCGTAAATCGTGTTCGTCTGCTTTATATTTTAGCTTATTTTGTTTTGGTTGTGTGCTTGCTTTAATGCCGCGACAAAATACATTTCAAAGAAATTATTGACCCCCTTTACTCTCATGTAACAGAGCAACCATTTTAGGCCCAAACCTAGGCCAAGCATGGCCGCAGAAAAAGATGCATGCTGTGTGTCGCCTAAGCCTAGGAAATGCATTATCATATGTGTTTGATAAAGCATGTTCACAAAAGCTTAATACGAATCATTCTGTCACTGCAAAACATTTTTCAAGTGTGGGAGAAGCATAAATTACTTCCCTCCACTCAACAGGAGAAACAATCCGTACCCTATGGGCAGCAGATGTGTTATAAGCGGCCAGGCCGAAAGCCCAATTTTATTCAAGGGGGACCAATTTTAGTAGCTAAAACGACTAACAACTCCACTCCCTAAGAGACTTCGTTGATAAAAGCATCACATTATTTCATTTATTACTTGTTTACTTGATAGTAGAGACTCTTGATTAAGAAGGCCTTGAATATCAGCTGACCTTCTAGGATACGCTACAAGGGTCCCCCTCTATATGGTAAAAAAAAAACATTAACACAAATTAAAGACAATAACCAACATGCTGTCACCCGGACTTTAAACTGTTTATTTTAACACTTAAGACTTTCTGTATAATTTTTTTTTAGACCAAGATACGTTCTGACAAACCCTACAAAATTCATTCATGACCCAAACTTGGGTCATGACCCATGGGTTGCAGACCAGAGGTTAATACTATGATTGAATATTCAGACTTGTATTTTATCACATCACATAATGTTCTGCAGTGTGAATGAATGCTTATAATTAAAATTTTAAAAAGGAGCTGAAATCCATGTACATACATGTCACATACATGTGACTGTAATATCTTGAAAAGAAGCCTACGCTATCTTGAAAAAAAACCTATGTTATCTTGAAGACTTTCATGGGCTTCATTTTGAGGCTAATTTTGCAAACTAAAACAGGGGGAGGGGGGCTTCAATTCGAGATGAGCTTCATCTCGAGATTAAGCCCAGTGAGCTTCAATTCGAGGTTTTACAGTACAGTATATCGAAAAGAAGCCTATGCTAATTTTGCAAACAAAAGAGGGGGCTTCAATTCAAGATTTTTCGGTATTACAGTAATCATGATTTTCGATATGTACAGCACTGACAGCGAACATACACAAAAAAAGGTGCTGATCGTTCTCTCCTGATTTTTTGTAACAACTCCCCTTCCCTTAAGACAATGTTGAACAGAGATTCCTTTCAAACTCTTTCAAATAAGCCATTTTTATCTATAAGAATGCTGTTAAATTGCAATAAACCCCTATTGTCTGAACGTTTGTACATGTTATTTGTCTCATGCCTCAGACATTGTGGGATTTTTAAAAAATAAGAAAAATGTTAGTAAAAAATATGATTCACAATGATTTTTTATGGCCTTGTTCACGTTTTTCAAGGATTAAAAAATTTTGTTTTTGTTTTTTTTTATAAATTCCTGTTACGACAGACGTTATGTTGCTATTTTGAAATGATATAAAAATAGTATTTGAACTCTCAAACGACAGCAAATGAGATTCCCTACTTACAGGAAGGTAATCATAAAGTGAACATATGTTTTACAAATTCTTGTATGCAAAGCTGCTTTTGAATTCAAAATCATACAAATACAGTATTGAAATAAGCCTTTTGATACATAAAATATAGACTGAGTATAAGATAAACGAGAAATGTAAAATGAAACTATATCAGATGTAATTACTGCTATGCATTGCCGGCTGCAATAAAATCTGAAACAAATTTCTCAGTAATTCAATTTTAACACTGAGTTGAGCACTGCCATAGCAAAGTCTTGATATAGCTCTATGTGAATTAGCTTCATAGTTGATGGGCTTTTAGTAGTTTAGGTATATATAGCCTATTAACACCTACGTATATTAGTAGGTTGTGTCTCTAATACCGTTTATTTACACTGGCAAGGAAAAAATAAACCTGTGATAAATAACAAAGTGATACTAAATATATTTCCAATTTAACTTCAAACAAAGAATTCCAGGTTTTATCTTGAGTTGCATACATTTATATTGGCAGCGAATGCGGGCTCAAACACTGTCCCCAATTTTCTGTGGCAGTTTCAAATTGTCGCTTGAGTTGCTAGAGCATTAATTATTGTCAAGCAATATATACGTTTTCAAAAACCTGCGAATTAAATTGGAAATTTTTTTTGTCAAGTCTGTAAGAAAGTGCAGGAAGTTTAATTTCATTGAAAGATGACTCTAGCAAAGGCGGTCTAACTCACAACAGCCATTTTAGGTGCAAACTAAAGGCTTACAATCCAAAATTGAATTCGGTGGTATTTCCACTGAATGCATCCCACACCAAGTCTAATAAATCTACAGTACAATAAATTGACTAATACCAATTGAGTATCTGAATTTTATTAATTGTTTACAAGCAGGGGGATCTCAAATTTCCCACAAGTCGTTGAAGTCTCTAGGAGAAAACATAATTGAATATATAGCAGTAATTAAAAAATTAAAAATATTTTTTAATTTTTAAGCTCATCAAAGATATATTGAAAAAAAAACAAAAAACCAAAAAAGTAAGATGAAGATTAATACAATTCATTTATTGATAATAATAATAATAATAATAATAATAATAATAATAATAATAATAATTACAGATGTCTTGCTTTAAAAATCCTTATACCTAATAGGCAATTAAAAGGTCAAAGCAAAAAGTATATGTAGTTACAATTAATTGTTTACAAATCAGTAAAGAATGTATTATTTTTCAAAAACATTTTCATTAGAAAATCATACCTCAAAAATTTACTATCTGCCCAAAAAAAAAAATGGAAAAAACCTCAACATTTCAATTATACTTCTGAATAGCTCATTTAAAAGAAAGAGATAAAAAAAAATTACTAATTATGATCCAATTTAAGTTCTATGTAAAAGAATACAGGATAGGTATTATTTCCATGTCTCATTCAGATTTTTAATTGCATTTTAATTTAACGTAAATTAAGCAACTCACTGGATATGGAATTGATTTGTTTTGCTCACGAGTCAGGACAGACAGTATATCAGATATAGTACATATATATTTTCCAACCAATTTAGGACATTAATATTATTAACATATTTTGATAATATCTTTACCCCTGTAGGTAGACTTCACAACCATCGGACTAGGGCCAGCTCTTCGGGACATTTGTCATTGCCCAAATGTCGGACCGAATCTGGGAGGAGGTTTGTCTACAGCGCCAGCAAAACGTTTAATTCTAATAATAATAATAATAATAATAATTTTGATAGCTAGCCATTTTTGCTGCTGTATTTCTCTTGATATATATAAGATCGTATTGATCTTATATTATTTTTAAAATTTTAAAAATGTTATGATCTGGATGTTATTATATTCTGAACTTTATGAACTGTGAATGTTATTGTTGACTTTTTGTACTGGGTCCTGTGGGAGAATACCGTAGTAGAAATGCTACTGAACAGGTTTTCCCAGTACAAAGAATAAAGAAATAAAAAAAAAAAAATAAATTATAAATTTAAAATTATATGTGTTATAGGGTAAATTATTCTTAACAATATTGTCTCATAAATGTACTAAATAATCCACATATTTACATGTTATTCACACAGATGACAAAGAAACGTTACTGATATTCAAATAAAGTAAACTGAAGATGGCTTACTTGTTGTGAACCCAGATGAATTTTTTTGCAAAGCCGCAACGAAAGCCAATTTACACCAGAGTATAAAAATAACTTCAAGCAAACATGTCAGATTACAGTAACAGCTCCAGTCTCTGAACATCCTTCAAAAATCTACCTGAAATTACAGAACAGAACATATTCACTGATTACATGTTTATAATACCTTGCTGATACTGTACATAGTAAAAAAAAAATCTTAAAAAAGATGAAACAAAAATAGTAATTTACACAGGTGTAACACAAATGTTCCAATAATCACCGCGGCACTTATGAAAGTTTAGGAGGCTTCAGTGTGGCGCTTATTCAAAGCGCTACTTCTAAAAAATGATAGGCATGGTGCTTTTCGTGTCTTCATTTTGTTATTATTTATTCATTTTAATACATTGTATTTAAAACCTTGTTTCTCAAAGTGTTTCATTACACACAGAGTAACATATACTCTCAATTAAGTGCTTTAGTCAAGAGTGGCGCTTAGCAAAAAAAAAATCAGGATTGGTGCAGTGCTAATTCGCGAGTGGCGCGTATTCGACAGCGGCGCTTATTTGAGCATTTACAGTATTTATATAATCAGAACAGTCCAGGTATGGTAGTTGAGCCGGGACCCTGCAATTGGGAACCTTTGGAATCTGTGTTGCAGCATGACATACTGTATCTTCTCACGTATATAAAGCAATCCGCATGTAAGACGATCCCAGAGTTTGAGTAGATTTTTAGATGATTTTTGTATGTCAGGTGTAGCCATATTCTACACAGTGGCGGCGCTAGAGGAGGTGGGGGAAATTTCCCCTCATCAGACCAAATTGTGGTCTAAAAGCACAATTTTGGGTCATAATAAGCCATAAAATGTCTCCCCATGAACCCTACCACAGATTTTATGGGACCCTGACAGAGGCTCTAACCGGCCCCTGGGTTTGAACCCCTCTCATTAGTCACAACTAATCCTACACCTAATAGTTACCATTGCTGAGAATTGCTAAATTACTTACTTTTGGATTACTTATATTTAGATTGTTATATTACTACTTACATCAAACTACTTTCAGATGCAGTAGCCACAAAACTCATCTCACTAATAAGAGCTGTTTTAAAATGAATAGTTTGATAGAATTTAACAAATCTATAAGTACATTTACAAAGTGCCTTGCTCAAGGGCGCAGTGAAATGCACAGATCGAGGGGATACGAACCCTTGCTAAGGTCAAGATTGTGAACTGCAGTTTGCAGTGCCTACAACTCACGCTAAAGGTTGTATGCATATCTGGAATACCAATGACCGGCTCTGGTAAAACCCTACATTCAAATTTGCCATACTATGCAGGCAAACATCTTTAATATTTAACTGCTAAATTTAGGAAACTATGAAAGCTGTCCTCTCTAAATCTGTTTGGCTGATGTTTCACAAATAAATATTCTCATCAAATAAACAATTTAATATGTAGTATTTCAAATTTTCCGACAAAAGGGGGTTGGCCAGAGTCGGTGACAATTAGTATACATGGTTTTCTCTAATGACGAGATCAGATTCAGATTTTCATGGAGCGTAATGTAATGAGAGTTTTTATATAACAGTACAGTAAATTTTCTGCAATGTAGCAAAGCAAGTTTAATCTCAATTAAATAATACATAAAATCACAATAACAAATTTTAAGTATTGATTCTATGTGTTCAAACTACTATGTTAAACTAAATATTCGAGTCATGAATGCGCTGCCGGGCAGAATTTTTATTCAGGATATCTGGCGCAATAGAAATTTTAGTCATTGATTGACTCAAACCCCCTTAAGTGTAGAGTAGACGCAACTTTTAATGGTAAAAAACACAAACGTTTTCAGGCATCGCCCTTCATCAGGTGTGTATATATATATATATATATATATATATATATATATATATAGAACTGGAGGTCGCTGGAACAGAATGTTGCTACTCGGAGTTTCACGCTATTGCGATCGTCAGGCAACTGATATATATATATATATATATATATATATATATACTTTTTACCTGTTTATATGTTGGTGCATTCAGTAATCTGTATTTTTAATGTGATTTTACTAGCTTTGTACCATTTTGAACGAACTGCAATGGTTGTGAGTGCCACTAGTCGTAAAGTGTTATTTTCAAAAGTAATTATGTTACGTTTAGTCTTTTAGCGCTTCATTCCAACAAGCTCTCTAAGTGCTGCACATTTCTACTCTCGGATTCGATCAAACGCATACTGAACACATATTCAGCATCCCTGGAGAGAATACCATAATGTTACAGTGCAGCTAGTAATCAGCAAATTTTGTGTTTGAACCTACTTAAGTACACTTGGGTAGAGAGAGACAACTGTAAAAGTGCCTTGCCCAAGGACACAAGCAAAATGCACAGTGATTGGACCTCTGACCTCAAGGTTGGGAAGCAGAACTGCAATACATCTCATGTACCTATAAACAAATACATAAAATACAAAAGCTCATAAAAAAAATAATGTAGTTAGTAGTAGTATATAAAATACAAAATTAAAATAATATGACTGACCTTGCAGGTGGAAAATGTCACCGCAAGCAGCACTCTAAACGAGGATACAGTACTGTCGCCATGCGCCTTTATACTGTTAGATAACATAAGTTGTGTTTGTTGATGTTGATGAGGTTTGTGAATTTATTGAGGCGCAGTGTTTTATGCAAGTAACATGCTGTGGCATGTATGCATGGGGGTAGTTAACATCACCTCATACACCATTATTTTGCAAAGTAGTGCCCCCCCACCCCACACCTCACTTAATGATCGAGCCCTCCCACTTCATCCCACCACCACACTCCGCCAACCATTTCAAGACTCCTAGCTACGCAATTCCCATGAATAAGACAATTCAAACACAGATCTTTACGGAGATAACTGCCATGCACTATTCAATAAATGTACACCACAGCATCTCTGATCATCCATATTTTTAAACTTCACACATTCAGTACTTTAGTGTAAGCACTTTTCATATAAACTCTGCTACACAAATTATTTAATAAAATACTGTAAAGGTCAGTACATCTATATGAGAGCCATAACAAAATCTGCATAATACACGGAATCAAATTCAATTTAAAGTGAAATGGAAAAATGGCAAATGCCAAAAGAAAAACGAGTGCCCAATAAGCAGAAATTTCCTTAATATAGAAACACAACACAGAATGAACGACACCAAACTGTCGCCTAAACAAAACTTGATTTCCAAATACTGATACACTGCCCATTATCAGAAGCATTAAAATAACACAAGGCTGTTTTAATAAATAATGGTTGATTTATCAACAGTCATTCCATAAATGCTGCAGCTGCAATCAGTGCATTTTGTGTTTGAACCTAACCACTTGTACTCCCTGGTGCTGAGAGACAACCGTAGGTAAACTACCTTGCCTATGGACACAAGCGAAACACACAGTGAGTGATTGAACCTCCGACCTCAAGGTTGAGAAGCAGAACCATAACCGTTGCGCCAAACCACTCTACCATTTTACAAGTGCATTTGGGAAATATCAAAAGTTCAGGATAGTGACTCTCCATTCACACCTTCAAGTGGGAGCAATTTGCACATATCCGCATCTTCGAAAAGTATTATGGGAGTGTAATAGCGCACCATGCAGTAATTATAGTACAAAAAGCACTCGCTTTCAGTAACAACATCATTAAGGCGATGTGACTTATGCTTGACATGACATAGCAGTATTAAATAATTGCATCAGACTAAAACAAACACTGAGCTACTGTAATTTCTGCCTGTCGTCACCGACACAAATTCAGTTTATTCATCCCCAAAACACAAAAGTAGGTTGCTGAGAGGAGCATGTGTATACTGCATATCTTCTGAAAGCAAATCCATTATCGGACAAGGTGCTATCAGTTATTGGTCATTTGAGGCATGTTGTGGCAAAATAGCTAAGTTGTAGCAAAAATTGAAATTCAAGTTATTGGTATTTTCAGATATCTGAGTGTGATCTTTAAAATGAGGGGTCATTCATTCAAATTGGACACTTCAAGCTTAAGTTTAATTGGAAAGTGAAAGTACAGTACTCTTAGAATCAAGATAAACATGATTTTGAGTAATTGCCTTTCAAAGTTATTTGTGCATACATTGTTGCATAAAATGAACTATGAAAAATAACGTTAAATAAACAATTTGTTAACCACTTCCAGAACTAATACTTTGGGACATGATTAATAAGACATTAAACTGTTGATCTATAGTAAAAAAACAAATTTGGATTTTTAGGCAATTTTTTGAGCTCCCATATTTTATAGCTCATTTACTCAATACTGGACTGTGCAACAACTTAACCATTTCGCCACAACATGCCTCATTTGTCAAAACGTAGGAGCAATTTACTATCCCAAATGAAACTACATTCCGACTGTACTCGGCATGCCTGTCAAATGAAATGAACTGAAATCAATCTTAATACCACATTCCATTTTTAACAGAAAAATTCAAATTAACATAATTATTCCAATTTACAGAATACAAGTAAAATGAATGGATAAAGAAACACTTACTTGCTATTCAATACCATTTCCACACTTTGTACTATACCTGCCTAAATCAAAACAACTCATCATACAATACCTGTATATTTCAGATTGCCTACCGCTTTATATAGCATACTCCCACTCATAGATCTGATAATTACATAAGCATGAAACTGCAATTGCTTTATAAGCATGACTAAAATACATCACATCATTTTTTTGAACAAATTTATAATACAAAAAATAATGATATAAAAAGAGCAAACAAAAAATAAAAACATTAAATTTTATTATAATTTACTATTTGTTTTTCAAAGTGGTTGTCAAGACAATGGCAACAACAACAGGCATCCCAGATTTTCAGCAATTTGCGAACGTCTCCAGGATATTGTAAACGCTTTCCTGCACTCTCCCGAACAAGCAAAAACCTGCTCTAAAAAAATCCAACTAATTCAGAATGATTTTTAGCTTTCAAGTCAGCAGGCTGGTTATGGATATCTCTGTGTATAGAAAAAACACATATTTAAAAATAAATAACAATTCTATACTAATTTGCCTCGTATCCCATTACAAGAAGCATAGCTCAGGACGTAATAGAATTTTAATAGTTTAAATAGGATGAAAGCAGGCTTGCCATTACTTAAAATGTCATTGTCATGAGAAAGTCAATTTCATAATTGTCTTGAGTTTCATTCCCATAATTACAAACAATTTCTTTTAATGAAGCATAATGTATTGTCGCTTTTATAGTCTTTAAAAACTGAATTAAACTTGGGAAAATAAATCATCTTGTTTTGCAGTCTTGTCAAACTAATGTATAATGAATTGCTATACAGTAGTAAAGTATACTGCCATTGATATATTGTTTCCTTATCATCTCAGAAGAAAAAAAAAAATTACCTACTTGGACACTGTGTTCTTTGCAGAGTGCCATATAAATCTATTGTAAGTAATAAAATTTAAGTACTGTAATTGATTATACCTGCCAAACATACCGCTTTATGCGGTAGGCTAACAATTCTGAAGACTATAATTGTATTGCCTATCACTTTATAACTACCTACGGTAGTGTAACAGTAGTGTAGGGTACATTTTTGAATATTTATACCGTAATAAGAATATCACTCTCTATATGTACTATGAATCGCACACACTGGCCTGTCATCAGTAATCATGATACCGGCCGACTTATCTCAAGTCATGCATGAGACAATTCATCAAATATAAATATAGCGCCCTCTATGTTATAATTTAAAATATGGCGCCCTCTATTTTATAAAACTTTAAAATCTATCTACTGCACACCAAGCTACTAGATTCCTTCTGTGGCTGCAAAGTAAAGTCTGTATTAAAATAATCACTTATTATAATTTACCTAAAAATTACATGTTTTATTATCTTACTGCATGTAGGTGATATACACAGGAAGTAATTTATTGCTATACTAAACCCATCTAATTCACTATCCTGAAATTTCCATTCTCTTAATATCCATGACTCATGATTAGGAGTAAATAATATTTTGCGAGAACAGGCCTGCTTTTCTTTCAATCAAGCACCGTATAAATGGGATATTGCGGAAATATTCACATTGGAACTCATGTGATATGGCAATATTATTATTACGGTACTCAGAAACTGAGTAGGCCTATACATCAGCATCGCTGAGCGTTTGGCTGAGAGGTAATGTTCCTACTTGCGCTGTACACCCCCAGATCACAAGCTGGCCAGTGTTGGGTTTTTATTGGAGTCAGATGGCTCTCTCCTCGAAAAAGCCTCATATGAGAGTTTAGGCAGGATAAGGAACAATGTGTCCATTATATGTCAGTACTGGTGCTGCACTATGGCTGGTGCAGGCCGCCAGGGGCCCAGTCAAAATTTCCAATTTCGAATATTTGGAATTGGACAAAAAAGATCTTTAATCACTGTACATGTTTATTCTCGCATAAGGCAATTCGGATATAAGACGACCCCCTTTTTTCAACATTTTTGCTTCATTTTAGTCTTGATACTGCACCTAACTGGCTAAAAACAGAATAAAATTTAGGGCTAATCATCCAATAATACCATTTTATAGGCTTTTAAATGTTCATCAAAATCTTATGTCTCTGCATTAATTGCATTCATTCATACTGTTAGTAGCTTCTTGCGATAGTGAATTCGTGTATTACAGACAATCGCACATATAACAAACATGATTTAAAATAAAAAGTGTATGTTTTACGCGTATAAGATGATTTTTCAATCGTAATTTGCTATTTTTAGTCTTGTCTTATATGTGAGAATATACAGTATTACACTGCGATATGGCAATATTACGATTAAATTCTGGTGTTGTTATCTTTCCCCACAGAAGGTACGTAATGTCGGAAATATTTTCACAATATTCCGGTAGCATATTTTTGTTTTCTCTTGCAAGCAACTTTAACATAAATTTGATCAGGATCAGTGCAAAATAAATTTGATCAGGATCAGTGCTAAATTTAAAATTTGATCAGGATCAGTGCAAAATAAATTTGATCAGGATCAGTGCTAAAATAAAAATTCGATCAGGATCAGTGCTAAATAAATTTGATCAGGATCAGTGCTAAATAAATTTGATCAGGATCAGTGATAAATAAATTTGATCAGGATCAGTGCTAAATATGAGGCTAATCCCAGCCATAAATCAGGTGTATTTTTGGGCTTACTACAGTACTCCTTATGAGTTGCATCGTTCTTCTTTAAATCCAGTCCAGTGGTGGTGGTCAAATTGATTGAAACAGGACTGCAACAGGAATGCTTCTACTATGAGTTGGTAACATTAATAGATGTTAGAGCTGCTGCAAAATGCCAGAATTTTCTGATAACCAAAAAGAACAATTCTCATTTTAGATGCAAGTGTCAATAGATTTTTCATTTATTTCGCCAACTGTTAAGAATTTCAAAATGAAAAGATATAGCCAATTACTTTAGTGTATACAGCTTTCCTACTGCAGAAAAAAATCTGACGGCATTGTATAGAAGAGATCTCTTCCTATTTATTGACACTTTAATTTTAATTTGTGAGAGAAATCAGATGTAAAATAGCCAATGATTTGAACTACAAGCCCAAAGCATTATCTTAAAAGCCTTATGCACATAAAACATAACTGTGTATCGAATACTTTACTTTACGCAAAAAGTTGTGGTTAATCATAGAATTACTGCGCAAAGACCACCTCCCAAGAAAAGCAAAAAGCACATAAGGTTATAGGTCAAAATACTAATGACCATTGCAAATACCAAAGCAATCAGTGTAGCTTACTGTATTTATACTTTAAAAGGAAAAAAACATTAAATTAAAAAAAAAAACAGATAAAAAATAGAATAAATATAAAATGTAATAGAATAAATGCGAGCTGGGCATTTATCAAGGTCTGACATTAATTTGTGATCATGTGACCAGCGTTGTGGCCCAGGGGCCTAGACAGGATTTTAAGGTATCATTTCCATTCAGGATAACTACTATATTTTTCCTTAGAAGATAAATATATAGTTTAGTATCCTGTGGGGGGAGGGGAAGGATGCAAAAAGTTAAAATGCGGAATTAAATCCCTATTCCAATGAAAACTTAATTGGTCATTTTTAGTATTTTAACTCATAGTAGTGTTGCTGCCACCCCTAGCCTATACCCATGACAATGTATAAAATTATAAAGAAACATTACATTTTATTTTTTCACTAAAGCATGGAGACATCAGACTGTATTAGTGCTGTACAATACAAATCCCAACTATTAATATTAATATCTATGATTAGGAGAAATGAGTAGGTAGATGAACTTATACATAATCATTCTATCTGTCATTTTTATCTCTCAAATAATATGACATTCATAGGATAAAAAACAACTATTACACATTCAATATATTATACTGTTGTTTGTGCAATGTACATGC